GGCGATTTATCAGCATTATCGGCACTTATCGGCCGATAAGTAAGACTTTTTTATCGGGATTATCGGCCCATTTTGACTAACATTATATTTTTTCAAGGCTATGATGCAAGTTTCGCTTTCTACAATTGGTTAATGATTCTAAACATGATGATTTATATTTTGGTATGTTTATATTTCATTAAGCATGATTAGATTATATTTTTTAATTGTTATATTATATATACACATCATCCAGTATATCACTCCGATAAATACTACTTATCCCCGATATATCCCTGATTTTTGCTATCCGATAAGGATTTTGGCCGTCCGATAAATCCCCGATAACCGATATTTAAAACCTTGCAACACTGTGATCCTATACGTCACTATACAATCTTGATATAAATGAGTGCACAATAGCCATAAGTCTATGTTACATTACCTGGATTATCCAATTGATCCTGATTTCATATGTTGGTCCTGGGGACACCTGAAAAAAAAAACTCTCAGTCCTCTTCATTCTGTCTTCCTTCTTTGTGTTGGATTACCTTAATTCACCACAGCAACAACAGCATCAAGAGGGCCAGAAGCCACATTTCATCTTTGTGCTCTTTTGAGTTTTTAGGAAGATCAAACCAATAGAGAGCCTGGTGGTTGAGCACACATCCAGTTCCAACTGGTACTGGATCCCCTCTAACCTTTCACGTTCAAATAAACACCGAAATCACATGGAATTTGATGCTTAGGGGGTGTTTGTTTCAAATCGTATAATTTTAGGATATGGATTTCACCATGAGATTTGAAATTCATAGGTGTTTTGTTATGGGTTGGGATTTCTAAAATGTTGTTTGTTTCATTAATATTTTGGGATTTGGAACACTACAATTTGTAATATTTTGTTTGTTTCAAGCTCAAATTGTAGCATTACCAAATGCTAAAATTTTGTAATATGATGAATATGCTATCTTGGTGAGGTTACCTCTCACAAAAAGACAAAATTTGAATTTGTTAAATCCTCTCCAATTGAGAGGTAAGCACACACATTTATGAGATTTGTCAGAACTCTCTCCAATTGAGAGGATTTGGCAAATTCTAAAAATTGGTCACTTTTTGCACTCTTGGGATTCAATATTCTAAAAAAATTCTTAAAACAAACACCATATATGGAATCCCAAAATACAAAAAACTCACTTTTTGATCCCAAAACTTGTAATCCATACCAAATGCCAAAAATTTTGGTGAAACAAACACCCCCTTATTAGTTATTAATATCCATAGAAGAGTCTCAAAGTCTGTAGTATTGAGTTGAAAGTTTATAATATTTAGCTAACAAGTTCTTGAGTTATTAGCTTACATCAATAAAGACAACATTACGATTGGCATATTGATCATGGAAATCGAACATCATCTAACCTTTCTGGGAACTGCACATGGCAGAACTTCTATGTAAGCATATCAAAGACTCAAACCTGCAATCATGAATCCAAAGATAAAAAGGTCAGAGGCATGCAGACTATTCAGTACAACCTCAATAGGTAAATTTCATAGTGGAACTGGCGCATTCATGGGACCGGTTTCTTATGGTGTTGACCCAGGCCTCTACTCCATCATTGGTCTCTTTTAAAATGGGGGTTTTTCGCTATTAGAGCTTCTCCAACGTGGGGCTCTATTTTGCATCCCAAACTTTGGCATATTCCTTAGAATATGCTAAAATAGAGTTATGTAACTCCAACCACACTGCTTTATTTCCAACTCCATTTCAATTTCTCTCAATTTTTTAATTCTTTTACTTATTTTAAAATATATAATGTAATCATATATTTAAATAAAATTAATTTTCTTTAATGAATTGATAATAAGAAATAGAATTAATTTTCTTTAATTCTTGGAATTTTATATTTCAATTAATATTATTTAATATTACTCTCATTTTGAATATATGAAAATAATAATAATAATAAAAGTTATATAATATAAATAATATTATTAATAATATTATTAAATGTATTAATATAAAATAGGCATTCGGATTAAATTAAACAGACATTCATATTACTAAATCCACGACTATTACAATGAAAGCAAAAACATGAATTGAAAATTACATGACAAATAGGAAAAACATAATACATGAAAAATACTAAAAGTCTGGAAAGTCAACTCCTCCGTATCCACCTCCTCTGTAGTCAGGTATTCCGTATTGACTTCCTGCGTAGCTGTATTCAGGATTAGGAATATCAAAGTATTACTCCTCCTGCTCATTATACAATTCAATGAAATAATTATGATGTCGGTTATTATTTAGCCGATGGCATATAGCCGAAATGGCCAACCCTTGTTCAAACCATTTCCAAATCCGAAGATAAAAAGAAACATTATTTTGCAATGATGTAAGAAGCTTGTCGAAAAGATGTGGAGCGAGCGTTTGGTGTTCTCCAGTCAAGATTTGTTATAATCAAGGGCCCTGCACGGTTTTGGGATAACGAACTTTGCATGATATCATGACCACTTGCATAATAATGCACAACATGATTATTGAGGATGAACGTGATGAGCAAGAAGATATTATCGTTTCTACTCCACCATCAATTTCAAATGTTGAAGACATAGGGATGAACGATGTCGAACGGTTCCGACAATTCCTGGCCCGGCATAAGAAATTCAAAGACAAAGAAGCACACTTCGCACTTCGAAATGCATTAATTGAACATTTGTGGGAGAAGAGAGATTTTAAGTAAGTAACAAAAATAATAATGGGACACAATTGGAATAATCCAATGTTGTTAAAGAGATTGAGGGGTAAGATTGTCTTTTTTTTTGGAATAGTAATATAGAGTTGGCTGCAAATTTGGAGAGAAATCTCCAAATTTACAGTCTCAAATCCATTTTTGCAGCTCAACTGTAAAAGTTGTCGCTTGGTTGGAGGTGATTCAGGCTGCATTTTGCAGTTATCCATCACGGTTGGAGCTGCTCTTAGTCCCTTAAATCACCATTTTTATATTAGTCCCCTAAATCTTTATATTTTGATACTAGTCCCTCAAATTACCTTGATGTATTGATATTAGTCCCTCTGTTACTGTTTCCGTTCAAAGCCCTCAACTATGTTTAGGTTTAACCCAACCATGGTGGTGTAATTACCAAAAACTCATCCCATATTAAATTCTCCAAATTAGTCAGTCATTCCCTTTCCCTCTCTCATTCTCTCTTCCATTTCTCGCTCTCAGCGAGCCCTAAGGCCATGCGCCGGAGGGAGAAACTCGGTGAGAAAGTGATCGAGTCCATTTGTGCAGCATGAATAACATTCGGAGGCAAGAGATCTGCTCTGATCCTTGGTATTATTTTAATTTGATCAATGGTCATGCGAAATTCCGGCACATTCTGTCGCAGGTTGTCAGCTTCCTCACAAATTAGGGTTTAGGGCAAAAATGTTGTTCCTTTTGAGGAAGGGGAGGAGAGTAAAGGGGAGGGGAGTTGAAGGAGATGTCGAGGGAGTGGAGAGAGGGGAGGTGGAGGTGGTGGATTTGGGAGTAGGGAGTTGTTGTTTTGGGGAAGTTGGTGACCGAGCTGAAGGCTTGGAGGTGGGAACAAGAGAGAGAGGGACAGAGGAGGTTGAAGATGAAGAAGATGATAATGAATTTCATGCATGGTGATGAGAGAGAAAGGAGGAGGAAATGTTAGTCGTGTTTCCTTGTTCTGATCTTTTAATATCCAAGAATTGGTAATTTCAGAAGAAAAGTTAATTTCTCCGTCTAATTTTTAATTTTAATTAATTTTTTTATTTCTGCCCGATGCCATACTTTCCTCTTTATTAGTTCTTTTGGCTACCTTTTATAATTTTAAGGAGAAGAGCAGATCAATGGGGTTTAGGATCTATGTTAGAGAAGAAGAAATTAGCCATGGAGGAGTTCCAATGGCTTTACCAATGAAAAGTGCCGTTGTTTACTATAAATGGGCCTTTGGAGAAGAAAGGGTGAAACGAGTTCCTGTTTAAAGAGTTTATTGGATGTAGGTTTAACTGGTAAGTGGGTTTGGGTATTGAGTATGAGATGTACAGTAGGGGCATACATGTCCTTTCCAGCGAAAAGTCAAAACTTAACGGAGTATTCCCAGCATTTATAATCCAAACTAGCTATAGGGACTGATACCAAAATATGAATACAATTTGAGGGACTGATACCAAAATATGAATATTTGAGGGATTAGTATCAAAATAGGTATGATTTAAGGGACTAATATCAAAAAAACCCTTTAAAATATATCTTCGAGTTCAACTGTCCTTTATCTGACAAGCAGTTACTCCACTTTGAGGATGTTCATGTGATGAAGCAAATTAATTCCCCAAAATACAAGAGTGTGATATAATTAGCGGAAAAGTGAGCAGCCCTTATACTTTCAAGAGTGATATATGATGAAGTTTCATTGTGTATAATTCTAAAAAGAAAAAGGATTGCAAGATAGCCTTTATCTTTTATGAGTCAATTATCCTACACCATTGCAAAAATGGGTCTACGGAATACCTTTAAGATCCCCAATCACCAGAACTTGCTGGTCTTTCCCGCTGAAATTCATGGCTAAGATGCTCGTTGCCTCGATCAAGCTCTCATACCCTTTTCCTTATTATTATACCTTAGGCCTATACTGATAGCAAATAACTTAAGGAAAATGATAGGGGCAAACCCACAACCACATCTCAAACCACACCCCCTCTCTCGCATGCTACAGTGCACCGGCTCCGCATGGGATTTTAAAATTTTAAAATCCCATGTGAGGCCCAGTGCACTGTAGCATATGAGGGAGGGGTGTGGTTTGGGATGTGAGTGCGGGTGTGCCCCTAGTGCCACCCATATCAATAATCAAAAGATGGAGAGATAGAAGAAATGAGCTTTGTTGAAGTTAGGGGAAAAACTAAAAAACTATCACCTTGCTTGATGATATCAATCTATAGGATCCAAGTCACCTCTTTCTTCTTCAAACTAGAAACGTTCCAATTTCAATGATCTGGTACTATAATCCTACTAATCTAACTGAAACCCAACATCCAAATGTTATCATGTGACCTTTTTAAGCGAGATCTCAGCGCCCCCGTCTTCTTGACTTGGTTTTTTTTTTATACACGGTCAGGGACCCTAACCCTAATCTAGAGAGAAGAAACCAAAAGTTACCATTTTTATACACAGTGAAGAGAAGAGATCACCCTTTTCGGTGCCTCGATGCACTTAAAACCACTTCTTCTTCCTCCTCTTGTGGAATCCACCAGCACGATGCCTGCCCGCCCACATCAAACACCAACAACAATTTTCTAAGAAATAACTCAAATATATCATTAAAAAATAAAACCCTAAAGTGACGACGATCACGCTTACTTGAGATCTTTCTCGCCGAGGCTCAAACTTAGGGCTTTGTTCTTGAGAGATTAAGCTCTTTCTTCTTCTTCTTCTTCGATTTGCTCGTCTTCGTCCTTTTCCTCTTCTCCCCTCCTTTTCGTCTTCGTCTTCGTCTTCGATCGCCGCGGGTTGTCTCCTTGGGCCGGATTGGCCCATGAAGTTGAACAACCCGCGATATTCTCGCAGAGCAATCGGTCGGAATATGCAAAAAAAAAAAATATTAATTTATACGAACCTCGTCTGTAATGGCGGCCCAAATAAGGAGGCCCATAGTCCAGTCCTCTACGCGACGCGTATTATCTTACGCGTATATTTTCACGCGTATATCTCACGCGTATGTTCTGAAGAGTTTTCTCACGCGTATATTCTTATGCATAAATCTCTCATCTCACTCGTATATACTTACGTGTTCTTTATAGTTAAATCTATTTTTAAAGAAGGCAGTGTAAGGGAATAAATAAAGTAGCCGCAATAAGTATAGGTTATATTATTGGTCTCCAGGATAACTACACACATATTACAACTATTAGTACTAATACCGGCATCTTAGATAAGGGTTTTTAGATGAAAATCATATTTAACTTTTATCAAAATTGATACTTGTCACCTTTAATTTTTAGTTTTTGATGGGCACCATCTTTACTAGCCTACATCCTTCACATGTCACATCTAATCGTGCTTTGAGCCCAAAAAAAAAACATGTGAATTGTCTATTTTACCCTCTCCCAAACATGTGTAGAGCACACGCACCATAATTAATTATTAAAACAATATTTTTTTTATATTAGTCAATAAAAGCTTCTATATTTTCATGTTACTCCCCTAAATCATCGTATTTTGAAATTACTCCCCCACACTGAGGTCATTTTTGCCGGAGAGCATCGTCTTTGCGTGAGAGTGTCGATCTTTTGTTCATCCATTAGGGTTTCGAGGGCATGCTTACATGTTTAACCGTTATTGTGAACAAGTCTAACACTTTAGGAAGGAGTATGAAAATAAGGAGTTGTGTAGAAATATACTTTGTTCTCTATCTCAGGATTGGGAACGAAGGTAACGGCCATAGAAGAACTTTAAAATTTTCCTAATATATCTCTTGATGATCTTGTACGCAATCTTATCATATATGAAGTTAGATTGAAAGAAAGAAAAAATGTCTCAGAAGAAGACTCAAAGAAGAAGCCGTTAGTCTTCAAAGCTAAAAAGGAAAAGTCGAAGTCTAATTAAGAAGAAGAAAAGGCCGAGCTCAATTTTTGAGGAAGAAAATACCCAAATTGATCAAGTTGTTAAAGGCTACAAATCATTCCTCACGTCAAAGGATGGTCAAAAAATTCCTGCAAGATAAATCGAATCACTATACAAGCAAGGTAAATAAATATAATTCTAGTGATTCAGATACTGAATTAATTTATTTTCAATGCAAGAAACTCAGCCACCTGAAGAAGAATTGCCCACTGAATAGAAAGGACTATAAAGGGAAGGACAATATTTTCAAAACAACTACTTGAGAGGACTCGGAGAGTAGCTCCAGAGGACTCGGAGAATACACTAGTAAAAATTCACGTATCCTAGACGGAATATTCTAGAAGAAAAATTTTCCGTCTAGAATGTATTAAACTAGACGGAAAATTTCCGTCTAGAATATTCCGTCTAGGATAAAGTATTCTAGATGAAAATTTCCGTCTAGAATAGTATTCTAGATGGTTTTTTTAATTTTAATTTTTTTTTTTAAATCCTGGTATTCTAGACGGAAATTTCCGTCTAGAATGTATCCTAGACGGAAATTTCCGTCTAGAATACGTGCCCATTTAAAAAAAATTAACCCGTCAAAACCCCCGCTGCCCTCCATTCCCCCCGAAATCGAAATTTTCATCCCCAAAGGCTCTGTTTGGCAAAACTAGCTGAAAGCTACGAGATTATAGCTGAAAGCTGTTAAGCTAGCTGAAAGCTGTGAAATTGTAGCTGAAAGCTGTTAGCTGTGTAGCTAGCTGATTGACTAGAGCTGTTTGGCAAAAGTAGCTGTACAACTAGCTTAAATTTGTTAAATGACTAAAAAAGATATATAATATTATTGATATAAAATTAGAATTATTAGGGGCAAAAACGGAAGAAAAAAATTGGCAGCTCCTTCCCAAAGACAAACGCTACTTGAGATAGCTTTCTAAAAGCTACTTGCAAAAGACACAATCTCCAAAATAATCTCCTCCTATTTTCCCAATTCCAAGTTTTACAAAATGTTACTTCAAAGCTACAAACTTTTTGAAGGACCGATTGAAGCTCTTTAGATCGCCAGCTTCATAAGAACCGATTGAAGCTCATCTGGAAAGGGAAAATTTTGAAGGACGAGAACGAGGATGGCGAGGATGTCTATGTCAGATTCAACAATGGCGGTAATTTCTTGATTTTTCGTTTGCTTTGCTCGTGGAAAATTTTAAATTTCATTTGATTAAAGCTTATATTTTTTAAAGTGTAGATTTGACCATTGGATTGGAAATGGGTATATAATGATACACTTGCATCGTTCTTTTCAGACTTCTAAATTTTTGGATTCATGTGAAGTTGATTTATGTTTTCCAAGATATTGAGTTTTCTAAGCAAGAAAATAATCCTATAGGTGCCAAATATAAATCAAATGGATTAAAAGAAGAGATTAACTTCATTGCAATATTTGTTTGCTTCTGGAGTTTCATATATCACCTTAATTTCCATATTTTTATACTACATCAGTTTTCGTTCCTTGCAAATTGACAGCCATGTAGGACTCATTTTTTTTAATAATTTAATTAATTCTTAAAATTCTGTATAATCCAACTTTGTTGTTTGAATATTTTCCTACCCTATACATCTGAGTGAATTCTGTAGTAGTGTTTCTGTTTCTGTCATATGCTTTATCCATTCTATCTAGGTTTCTTGAAGTGTCTGGCACCTGAACAGAGCCCCGGACTGAGGCCCGAAGTATGTTAAATATGATAAGCTATTTCGCAGTTTCTTTCTTGTTGAATACAACAATAACTGAAATTAGACTTATTTTGTAATCATTTTTTGTCATTGGCTTAAGAAATTAGCCTCAACTTTTAATCCACTTATTTAAAAACATATGGTCGTGCATGTGTGAAAAGGAGTATCTTTCGATCATCTCAAATGTGCCACCAGCCAGATGTTGCCTACAATAAGATTCTTTAGTTTTTTCACGGAATAATTCAAGTGTGGAAAGTTAGAATTGTTAATTACCGCATCTTTATATAGATTTTCGTATTGTTGCTGGGCTAGCATGGTAATCGTTCATATGAACTCATGCATGTGATGTTTGCAAATTCTATTAATTTGCACTCTAAATTTTTTTATTGACTTTATCCTCAATTATTTATCTGTAACAATCTTACATTTTGGGAGTATATTTTGTGGTATCTAATATAATGTGTCTGTTGTGTCTTCCATAGGAGAGAATACGCATTGGTAAAGAGCTTTTAGAAGCCAAACGAATGGAGGAAGAAAATGAAAGAAAACGGTTATACTCTGACTGCTTTTAAGTATTATGTTTATATTTTATGTTTTCCATACATTTGGTGTGTGTTGCACAGCTGTCTTTGGAATAATGAGTTATAAGTTTGTCTCTTTAATGTCTAGAATAATGGCACTGAGAAAGGCAGAGAAAGAGGAAGAGAAGAGGGCGAGAGAAAGAGAAGAGCTTTTACATATTCTTTATTGTTTGCCTCTTCAATTTGTATGTCTTTCATGTTTAATGTTAAATGTGTTACATATATAATAGGTTAGATAGAATGCATATATAATAGGTTAGACATATATAATAGGAATGTGCTGCGACTGTCAAGGTGCCATAGTAGAATACTTCTTGGTTTCGCATCTTTATTAACAAAGTATTGTTTGGGGCATAAAAGACTTTACACAATGATGAATACCCTTTATTTGCTTTGCTCTTTATTCAAATGAATACATAAGCTGGACTCCTGAATAAATGCCACAAGTGAAGAGTCCATTCCACCATTTGTATATTTTTACTGTCTAAATAGGTCTAGAAATCACATCCTTTTGGCATTACGGTGGTATATATTCCCTAAACGGGCGGGCAATTTCCTACATATCATGTGTCATTGTACTACTTGTGCATATACTCAGTTAACTATGTCTTAACATGATTCTCTGCCATGTTCTAGAATGTCAATGAGGAAAGTACTAAAGTTAATGACCTTTCACTTGTCAAGGAAAGGTTTTTGCTAAATGAGACTTGATTATTGAGTTATAGGATAATAAAAAAACATGCAAGCTCTCCTCCAGAGACATTTTAAGTCATTAGTATAATGTTAATGATGTTGGCCATCCATCGTATATATAATGGACAGTTATAAAGCTTTCCACTCTCTTATCTCTTTTAACTTAGTCACTTCCTCCATTTCGTCACTTCCTCCATTTCGGTCCATATTAAAATAGAATCAGGCCTTTTTATACTGTTGTTTATTGTGCTATATCTTACTGCTATGAACAATCACACAAAAGAAAAAACACACCAAAACAAATGCATTATGCAAATGCAATTACTCTTTAATTTGTGATGCCACCGATGAATTGGTAGAGAAGCAATATTTTGTATTTGGAAAAAACAAAGTATATTGATCTCTTTTGCCATGCATGTCTGTCGAGTTTGCTAACGTGAATGATCTCTTTTGCAGGATCCACTGGTGACTAAAGGTGCAAACACTGCATATATGGATATTGAACTGGTGGGTGAATGCTTTGGGGTCCTCTCATCATTTGGCCAATTCATAATGCACGTTAATTAGTGAATGTGTTACGTAGGAAATTAATGATTGGAAGAATCATTGTTCGACTACTTAGTTTGAAGGTTTTTATGAGCTTTGGGGTTCAAATTGGTATTGTTTTTAGGAACTGTTGAGCAATCTAAATTTGTAAATAATTTATGTAAAAGTTTGTAAACAATTTATGTATCTCTAGTATTTTGGTAAATGTATTATTTGAATATAATTAGATTTGATATTAGAATATAATTAGATCTTGTTGGATATGAATTCAATCTAGTATTGTTCAATGTTGTGTACATGCACCAAAAGTAGGTTCGGCAAAAAAAAAAAACTACTGTAGCACAGCATCCTAGACGAAAATTCCGTTTAGGATGCTC